CTTCCAATCTGATCTACAATCAGCCCTTCCATCTGTGCCTAAACCTCTAATCATGCTGGGCTGGTGGCCACTCATTGACGTAACTCTTGTCACCTGGCCTGGCCTCTCCAGGGTCCTGACAATGCTTAGGCCAGCACCCAGCTGGACCCTGCGGTTAGAACTCCCACACTCACGAAGGCTATCACAGGTTCTAGCACCTAAATCCCATCCTATCCACCCAATTCCCACCCCAAACCAAGCTGTACCCTCTCTCCGAAGTTAGAATGTCCAGCTCCACTAAAATCACAATGGGTCAAAGGTCTGGAAGTTTAAAAAGAAACTCTTCAGCTGCTGGAAGTTAAAATAGGCAGAGCTTTTAAAGACACAGGTGTAGGCAAGGACTTTCTGAACAGAAGCCCAAGGGCACAGGAAAGAGTAATGAGAATCAACAAATGGGATCATGTCAAATTAAAAACCTTCTTTTCAATCCCCGGTACCAAAAATAAAGAAATAAATACAATAAAAATAAAAAGCTTCTTCACAGCGAAGGAAACAACTGACAAAGTGAGTCGGCCTGCAGAAAAGGAGGAAACATTGCCAGCAGTTTGTCAGAGAACTATCATCTAGAATGTACAAGGACCTCACAAAAATTAGATCCCTCCCAAAAAATGGAAGATCTAATCATAAAATAGACAACTGAAAGGAATGGAAACTTCTCAGAAGAAAAAGTACGAACAGCCGATAAATACGTGAAGAAATGTTTAGTGTCTCTGACCATCAGAGAAATGTAAATAAAAACAACACTGAGATTCCACACTGCTGAAGAAACAATGGCTACAGCCAAACAATCAAACCATAACAAATGCTGGAAAGGTTGAATAGGCGTCTGTGTTGTGGTGGGAATGTGAACCAGTGCAACCACCATGGAAATCAGAATGGAGATTTCTCAAAAGACTCAAAACGAAAATTCAACTGGACCCAGTTATTCCCCTTCTAAGTATCTTCCTGAAAGGGCTGAAGAGATCACATTACAGGGACACACATATCCATACCCATAATAGCCAAATCTTGGAAGCAGCCTATAGGAATGGATAAAGAAAATGAGGGATTCATACGCAATGGAGTACTACTCTGCTATAAAGAAGGATCGATCTGAGTCGTTTGTAGGAAAATGGATGCACCTGGAGACCATAATGTTAAGTGAAGTAAATCAGACACACAGGCTTAAATATCCCATGGTCTCTCATACATGCAAGAAACCCAAAATATGAATGAAAAGCAAAATGAAAGATAGATGATAAGGAGTAGGGAGAATCAGTCTTTTTCAAATGAGAAGGGAATCCATAGATGAAGGGAGAGGACAAAGAGGGTAGAGGGATGGAAGAATTGAGATGTGTTATGTACATGTGCCAACTCCCCACAGGGAGAAAAATTATTATGTAGTGAACATATATACTACCCCGAGTGGTGGCACAAGCCTATAATCTTAGCACTCAGGAGGCTGCGGCCGGAGGGTCACCATGAGGTCAAGGCCAGCCTGAACTACAACGCAAAACCCTGTCTTTAAAAAAATGTACTAATAAAAAGTAAAAACTGGGAAGGGGAGAAGAACGGTCAGCATCAATAAGGCCACAAACAATGGCAGCGAGGGTGTGGAGAAAGGGTAACTCTCACGCCCTGCTGGTGCAACGTAAATCAGTAAAGCCATCATGGAAAATAGCATTGGAGTTTCTCAAAAAAATAAACCACTATCTGATCCGTCAAGCCCACTACTGCATACATATCCAAAGGAGCTGAAACCAGAAGCAACCCTATTCCCATGTTAGAGGAAGTGCTATTCACAGCAGCCAAGACAAGGAATCCATGTTCCAGAGAAACATGGGTGGGTGAGAAAGTGATGGGATTCATACAATGGAAGATTATTTGGCCGTGAAGATAGCGAAATCCTGTCTTTTGCAGCAACACGGGTGGAACTGAAGGACAGTACTGAAAGGACTGCCTGTTCTCACTCACGTTCAAAAGCTTAAGATGAACTTGGCTATGTGGGGTGGTGTGCACTTGTAGCTCCAGCTACTTGGGAGGCTGAGGCAGGAGGATCACTTGAGCCCAGAATTTTGAGACCAACCTGGCAACACAGCAAGATCCTATCTTGAAAAGCAAAACCATAGAAGTGGAGAGTAGAACAGTGGTTATGAAAGGCTGGGAAGAGGAGGGGAAGTGGGGATAAAGAAAGGTGGGTCAACAAGTATAAAATTGATTGGTGGAAGAAGTGCTAATGTTCTATGGCACAATTAGCAATAACTTACTGTGTATTTTGCTGTTGTTGCTATTGTTGTTTTTTGAGACAGGGTCTCACTATGTAGTTGAGACTGACCTGGAACTCACTATGTAGCCCAGGCTGGTCTCAAACTCACAGCGATCCTCCTGCCTCAGCCTCCCGAGTGCTGGGATTACAGGCGTGCGCCACCACACCTGGCTCACTTACTGTGTATTTTTAAAGGACTAGAAAAGATGGTTTTGAATGTCCCCAAAACAAAGAATCAGTAAAAATTTAAGCTGATGTGTATGCTAATTACCCTGATATGGTCTTTTCACATTGAATACATGTATCACAATATCACACTGCACCCCATAAACATGTGCAATTATTATGTGTCAATTAATAGCTCAGTGGTACCACACTCGCCTACCACGCAAGAGGCTGGGGTTCCATCCCCAGCACCAAAGGAAAAAACAATCAAAAGCCTCCCTCTTACTGTTACTGAAGTTCAACTTGCCCTCCATAGTTCAAAAGTCCTTCCATGTTTTGCTATGAAGACGTAGAGAAATGTGTCTATTTTTAAAATCCATTTGAGTCCGACTTAAAAGTGTTTTAAAATGTGAAGAGGGTTTGCCCTCTTTGGAAATCAGAAGCAGCTTTTCCAGCCGGAGATCCTGTTCTTGGTCACTAAGGAGACCAGCGAGAGCAAGGTGCCCTGGGTCGTCCATTACCGAAACCAAGCCTGGGAGGAGGAGCTCTTTGCCCCAAGGGGGGGAAACGCTGGGTGGGTGGAGTCGGGGAGGCCCAGGTGGGCGCCCAGCTCAAAGCCTACCTCCCCTTCACTTCCTCTCTGACGAAGAGCTGGCTCTGTCTGCTTCAACGCTCACCTGTCGGCACTGAGGGCATCTAATTCCTGCAGCCCCTGGCAGGAGTAGACTTCTACGCCTCTGAAGCAGGAGGAACGTGACAGTGTGACCTTCCTCGGCGACTCTTTTAGTGAATGCGTCTGGTAATCAGCAGAGCAGAGGTCACCATGCCTGAAGGAAGCCTGGGGCCACCAGACGCCGTCACCAGCAGCCGGGGGCCCAGGAGAGGCCTCCTCCACCCCACCGTAACCCCGCCAGTCCACACGCTTTCTGCTGGGCTTCTCCATCCGCACCAGAAGGGTATCCAGGCCCCTGGGCTCAGTGCTTCCCCACAGAAACCTGGGAAGGAAAAGCTCAGAGAAGTCAAGAGACTTTTCCTCCTGCGTTTTGTGTCCTTCGCCTGCACAGCAAGAGAAGCGTGCAGCTTCCAGAACATTTTAGGAGTGGACCAGGGTGGGTCGGGGCCAGGCCTTTCCACCGATGTAACAAAATCCAAATTCACAGCTAAAACAAAGCAGGGAGGGTGACTGGGGTTCTGTATGGTTGTCCTGGGACTTTGTAGTCTCCACCAAGCCTGGCGGGGACAGCCTGGGGACAGCTGTCTGGAAGGAGGTGTCTGCCCCACCCTGAGGCCTCGAGAGTGAAGCTTCTTATGCAGCAACATATAACCGTGCCCTGCTGATATCTGAAATAAAGGCTTAGGATTTTTTTCTATAAAAAAAGTTGGAAGCCCAGTATTGACATGGCAGCAGTTTCATAATCATGGGGAACTTAGAATCCTTCTATCTTTATGCTCCATCGTCTTTAGCCCTGGCTTTCATCCTCAAAGTTGTCTCATGATCCAAATAGTTGCTAGAGCTCCAGCCATCACATCTGTTTTCCATGAAGGAAGGAACAGAAAAGGCTTCTTCTAGCTGCGTTGGCCCCCTTTAAAAGCGCTTTTGTAGAAGCCCCACCCAAAGGCTAGCAGCCTGAGTCTCATTGGCTGCTTTGAATTACACAAAAAGGACAGGAAATGTAGTCTTTTAGATGAGCGCATTTCCCCCTGAATGAAATCAAGAGAAGAACAGGGGACTGGGCATTGGGTGGGTGACCGGCAAAGATCTGCAGCCCCGGGCCGATTTCTCCGACCTGTAGTAACGAGAGGGTAAAGTGTCAGCGAGGAGTCACCAGCCTGCTGCTCCCCTGGGCCCTTCCACTGGGGACACAGCTGGGAGAGCTTTGTTCTCAGGCTCGAGGCTCTCACTTGGCCATGTCCTCTGTGCATCCGTTTCCCTTTATCGAGATTCCTATCACATAAAATTCACCACTTCCGGGCTCGGCAGGGCTCGGCAACCTCTGTGTAACCATCAGCGCCATCGCCCTGCGGACCACTTCTGCGGTGCTGGAAAGAAACTGTCCCCATGAGGGTCAGGGCAGAGGTGGCTCAGCCCCAGGGCCACCAAAGAGCCGCACTTGCCCCTTGGGTGTGTGTTTGTGTCCTCGACAGCTCCCAGCTGGGGTTCTGGGGCGTTTCGGGTGCTTAGGGAACGTCAGGAATGGGGTCTCGGTGCGTCGGTCCAGAGCACGGACAGAGGTCTCCTGGGATGCGTCCGACTGCGCAGGCACAGGGCTGCCTGTGAGCTGCAGGGCGAAAGGGCAGGGGCAGGGGCCAAGGGGCAGGGGGTGCTCAACAGCTCCCCAGCCTCCTGCCCAGGAAGGAGCAGCAGCAGCGAGGACGCTGACAGGGGCTCCCTAGGTTCACATGGCTCCCATCCGTGTGCCAAGGAGCAGGACAGGGAGGACAGCACTGACAGTTCCCACCAGAGTCTCCCTGCTCCCTTCTGGTGTCCTGGAGCTGGGGCCCATTTCACAGAGAAGTACAGGAGGCTCCCAGAGAGAAGTCACAGCTCTGACAGGACACCCAGAGCTACGCCACACAGAGGCACCTGTGGACACACATCCTGCCCCGGCCCCCCAGCAGGTGCAGCCAGCCCATCAGTGGCCTGGCCCTTGCCATCCTGTGGGGCTGCGACACTGGGACGGGGCTCGGCTGGGCTCAGCCTGGGCTTCTGGAGCCGGTGGGAGCCTGGCATGAGCAGCCCCTCCCTCCCGCCTGCTGCCCGCTCTCCCCTCCCCAGGCAAAAGGTTGCTCAAGGAGACTCCAGGATTTGGGGTCCGCCTGGCCACGTCGCCAGGAGTCCTTTTTGCTGAGCATCTCGCCAGAGTTCCCGGCAGAGCTCACAGAGCCTCGGGAAGCAACGGGAAGGAAGCTGAGGGATCCTGGCTACACCGAGCCCAGGTGAAGCAGGCGTGAGCTGGACTGACGGGGAGGCTGGCGTGACACAGGTCTGGTGGCAGAGCCCGAGGAAGGGGGGACAGCCTGGAAGGCTTGGAGGTGCTGCCGTTTGGGGGCCGGAGGGGGTCAGCGTGCGCGTGTGTCATCGAGGTAGGAGCCTACAAAGGGAAGGGGAGGGCCCTGCGTGGGGGAGGATATATATGCTGGTGTGGCTGCCACGGAGGGATGGAACCTCCCATCCCAGGCAGCCCGCGACGGACGGCCAGCACCCAGGTAGGAGCTGCATGCGACCCACCGTGACTAACTGCCCGGGGAGAGAGGGGCAGCCCGGGCCAGCCATTCCGCCTCTGTCCTTTGTCCAGCCTGCCTGCTGCTGGCCTCTCGTGAGATGATTTCTTCATTCATCTTATTTTCAGGGCTCGGCTGGGGGAGAAGCGGAGGGGAAATTTCTTCATTCATCTTATTTTCAGGGCTCGGTTGGTGGAGAAGCGGGGAGGGCAAAGGGTGTGTGTGTGTGTGTGTGTGTGTGTGTGTGTGTGTGTTTCAATCTCAAAGAAAGAAAAGAAGAAAAAAAAACTGAACTTGGAAATGAGGAAAAGTTTTGTTTCCCAAGCTGTGGACCCTACTTGGCCACTGCTCTCTGTGAAGAAGAGGTGGCCGCAGGAGCGGGGCTGGGCGGGCAGCAGGCACTGGGAGGGGGCTTGCGCTTGGGGCACCTGCGGGACCCCAGGGAGGGCTTTCTCTCCGCTACTCGTCCTTCTCTCCTGCGTGCGGGTGCTTCCCCACATTTCTCTGAACTTGATGCCTTCTGGATTTGAGGCTTTCATCTGGGGGCCCTCTTCCTTTCCACCCCAAGTAGACATTGCTATCTATGCTGAACCTGTGGGTCTCGCTCCACCTGTTTACGCCACGGAAGGCAAATAAATAGATGCCTGGGGTGTATTTCACAGAGAATTTCTGCGAAAGTGACCTTGGTCTCCCGGACCCGGATCGTGTGGGGTTTCCTTTCTCTCCTGGCACCTCTTCTTCACTGCTTGTCTCTCCCACCTAACGCGTCTTCCTGGGTCGCACAGAATACTCCATTCACGAAGCGCAACATCTAAACTCTCCCCGCCGCCACCGCTGCCTTCTCCTCCTCCGTCTTTGTGCCTCTCTCTCCTGCCTGTCTCGCTCCCTCCCTCCCTTCTCTCCGCATCCCCACCTCCCCGCAAGTCTCACTCTTGACACAGGCAAGTTCTGGGGGAATTTCAAGTAAGGCAGGATGGCTCGGGAAAGGGACTATTTAAAGCGAGCTGCTTTTGGACTTGAATACCCTGATCCCGGGCTGAAACATCTGTGTTTAGCTTCTCACGCAGCCCATAATTGCCCCAATTATAACCAATAACATTGTTCGGCAGACTAACAAAAGATGAGCTTTGCACGGCATTTGCCAGCAAGTCCAAACCAGAGTCCTCAACGCAGAAGGGAAAAAAAAGTAACTGCCTGGCTTCTTACCAAAACCTCCCAAAAGAAAACACTGCTCTCTCCCTCTGCCTGTGGGTGGTTACCCCACACACCCTCCTTTCCGGAGCGGCAGGGAAATTTTATACAACCCCCCCACGCCCATGTCACGATACCTTTGACACAAACGATTTGTGTTCCTTGGGCTCGCTGAGTCTCCTGCGGGGACAACTGTCCGATTGCCACCTTTCAGTAAAAGGAGCTTTTGCCTTTCCCTGTGCTTCCGGGTGGCGCCCGCCCAGCGTGCTGCGTTGCGACCTAGGGTCGTCTTTTTGGGGTGCAGTTTTATCCCCCCAGGGGCAGCATCGCCTGCTTTATCTGCTGAAGGCTGGGGGTGCTTAGGGATTTATACAGCGTAGCGGGGTTTGCATGGTCAATGAAGGGAGTAATTGCAGGATTAGGCTGCAAACCGGAGCTGTCACCAAAGCTATTTCGTCTTCAATCAATCGGGTATTTATCAGCCACACGCACCAGGGCTCCGGTGATTCGACAGAGGTGATAATAACAGCGGTGGCGCAGCGATTTAGGCTTTCACACCCATTATCCCGGCAACAGCTCCGTGATTATCTCCGAGTTGCAGCTGAGACTGAAGCTGAGCGGCTCCGTGATTTGTTCCTTGAGTGCGTGACACCGACAGGACGGCGTGCTGCTGTCCCGGCTCCGGGCAGGGCGTCCCCGCTGCCCCAGCAGTCGGGGGTGCTTAGACACTAGTGCCAGGACCCAACGCAGACACCTGCGAAGTGGTCAGAGGACGCTGCAGGGCTGGGTGTGATTAACCCGCATCTCCCGCAGAGCAGGTGCTGGGGAGGTCGGCCAAGGGGCATTTCGTCCAGGGTCCTGGGAATTGGGCCCAGTGGGGCGAGGGGCTTTGCAGAAGGAGGTGGCGGCAGAGACAAAGCACAAAAGGACGGCAAAGGAGTGAACATTTCTTGAGACCTACTGGGGTGCCAGGCAGTGAGCTAAGCTTGTCCGAGAGCTGCTTCTCTCGCTCGCGTTGGGGGCCAAGAGCGCAGCCCGCTCGATGGCGCATTCTCCGTGTGTGGATGTGACTCTGTGATCCTACTCTTCCCAACTCTCTCGTGCCCCAAACCACAAGAGACCCATGAAATCCCGTCTGTTCTGGGTGTGGGTGGAACCCCCATCAGGTACCCTGGGAGAGGAACCAGCCTTTTCCAGGAAAGAGGAGTCATCGTGACAATAGTGTGTAGGGGCTTGAATTGCTGGGAACTCACTGGCAAACTGGATTTTCTGACCACTTCTGTGGAAACTTCTGCTGCTGGACCTATTGTCTAACACAAACGTTTCCTTCTAACCACAAACTAGCTGAGTGATTCGGGGCTCCCTAATTTGGGGGACAAGCTGGTTTCCTGGGCATCTCCCTTGACAGGCTGCGATCGCTCACACTTGACTTTCTGAGATCTGTGGCATTTCCAAATCCTAACAGCTGCTTTAGCATCACAGAAGCCCAGGCTGGCAGCGAGGCTCCCCAGGGCCCAGCCTGGCCAGGGAGGGACTCAGCCTGTCTCACCAGCCGCCACTCAGAGGGGCTCAGACCCTGCGATCTCCCATCACCTCTCCATCCCTTTCAGCCTCTCGTTCATCCAGCCAGGACTGTGTGCGGAGTTCCTGACGGGGCCGCATGGTGCCAGGACCCGGGCCCCAGAGTTGGCACAGCCCTTGGCTTGCTGCGTCTTCATGGCCAGTGTCGCCAAATGGGCCAAGCCTGCCTGGCTACCTACCTGGGCTTCCGGAAATTGAGACTTTTATTTTGTTTTGTCTTAATCTGTACTTTAGTGGATTTTATAATGTATATAACTACTAAATAAATGAACTGAAAAGGGAATGTGTGCTAAAAGTGATGGCTAAGCCAGACATGGTGGTGTGTGCCTATCTATAATCCCAGCACTCTGGGAGGCTGAGGCAGGAGGATCACAAGTCCCTGTCTCAAAGCAAAAAATAAAAAATTAATTATTTATTTTTAACTAGCTAGTAGCAGTTCGTTCCCACACAAAGGAATGATAAACACTTGAGGTGGTAGATAGGCCAGTGACCCGGATTTATCAGGCATCATGTACAGGCATTGAAATGTCACACTGCACCCCATAAATAGGTACAATACTATGTGAATTTAAAGTTTTTTAAAAGACCAGTTGCTAGAGGTACAAAGTTAAAGAAGGTTGGAGATTACTGCTCTACATCCATTGCTCTCTTGTCTGTATTTTTAATCTTTGTGCAAAGAACACGGAGTGATTTTATAAAAGTGAATAAAAGCTTTTAAAAGTGTATTTACATTATCTTGGCAGTATTTGGGGTGCTGTTGCCAGGATGACAGTTAAGCGTCTCCCTTCCTACAGTGGCACCTTGAGGCGCCTCCCAAAGCCCCACTCCGTGAAGTTCTCTCCACCTTGCTTTACGGGAGAGGACAAGTAACTGGCCATTCATAGAACAAAGTATATTAACCATCTACCCGACCGCCTTTACAAAAGGAGAAACTGAGGCCTAGAGAAAGGAAAGGGTAACACAAAGCCGAGTCTAGAACCCAGAGCCCTGGTCTCCATGCACTCAGCTCCTACACATTCGTGGCTCCCAGCCCGGGCGTCCTGGGCCTGTGCAGGATGGGCAGTTGCTTTGTCCCCGCGCCCTGTGCACCATCCCCTCTTTTCAGGTGGAAACTTGGAGCAGCATAGAGACCTTTGTAAGAGTAAATGTATCCATCAGAGGAGGACAAGAATCTAAAACAGCCTCCTTCGGTGACAGTTGGCAAAGAAGCCAAGCTCCACACAGGAGTCCTGTCCGCAGCGAATCAGAGGACCAGGGGCGAGGCAGAGCCCACTTCCTCCCCACTGCATGATGCTGCTGACGGCCCCCCGACAGTCCCTCCCTGGACCGAGGCAAGGGGCAGCTAAGACGCTGTGATCCGAGAGGCGAGCCCAGAGGCCAGGGCTACAGAAAGCCTTTAGACTGTCACCTGCATGACCACAGACCATCAGAAGGAAAGTTTGGAACGGGAGCTGGGGGACCAGAAGGCTTTGGCCCGTCCTGTTCTGTCTTCTCTGAGATTTGGTTTCTTCACCTGTCGAATGGGGCTGATCACACTTACCCCACAGGGTGGGTGCTCAGGAAGCCCAGCGCCGTGTGCTCTACTTGCACTGGATTGCCTTTAAATGCAGACCCCATTCCAAGATCCCACCAGAATTTGCCAACCTTCCCAAAGTAGAAACTGTACGGAGTTTACAGTTGCCCAGAACTCACAACTGGAAATCAAAACACCTGAGTTGAAGCCGTGGCTCTGCTATTTATTAACTGAATGGTCTCGGGCAAGTTGCATCATCCCCTCGAGTTTATGTTTATCACAGAAAGAGGGTAAAATTAACTCTAGGTTATAGGGGTGCATGTGAGCATAAACATCATCTATAACCTGTGAAGGATAGTATTCCCTGTGTGTAACTGACAAAAGGGGGACATATATGCTTCTAGGAGGGAGGCCCCTTTTCCCTCTCCACTATAAGCGCCAAAATTATAGGTTTCCTCACAGGTCATGAAACAAAAC